CCGTTTGGGAATTGGATCCGTTTGGGAATTGGATCCGTTCGGGAATTGGATCCGTTTGGGAATTGGATCCGTTCAGGGATTGGCCCAACCCCGTCCCGGTTCCTCCCGGGTCGGGAATTGGATCCGTTTGAGAATTGGATCCGTTTGGGAATTGGATCCGTTTGGGAATTGGATCCGTTTGAGAATTGGATCCGTTTGGGAATTGGATCCGTTTGGGAATTGGATCCGTTTGGGAATTGGATCCGTTCAGGGATTGGATCCGTTTGGGAATTGGATCCGTTTGGGAATTGGATCCGTTTGGGAATTGGATCCGTTCAGGGATTGGATCCGTTTGGGAATTGGATCTGTTCGGGAATTGGATCCGTTCAGGGATTGGCCCAACCCTGTCCCGGTTCCTCCTGGGTTGGGAATTGGATCCGTTCAGGGATTGGCCCAACCCTGTCCCGGTTCCTCCTGGGTTGGGAATTGGATCCGTTCAGGGATTGGCCCAACCCCGTCCCGGTTCCTCCTGGGTTGGGAATTGGATCCGTTTGGGAATTGGATCCGTTCAGGAATTGGATCCGTTCAGGAATTGGATCTGTTCGGGGATTGGCCCAACCCCGTCCCGGTTCCTCCCGGTTCCTCCCGGGTTGGGAATTGGATCCATTTGGGAATTGGATCCATTCAGGGATGGGCCCAACCCCGTCCCGGTTTCTCCCGGTTCCTCCCGGTTCCTCCCGGCTCCTCCCGGGTTGGGAATTGGATCCGTTCGGGGATTGGCCCAACCTCGTCCCGGTTCCTCCTGGGTTGGGAATTGGATCCGTTCAGGAATTGGCCCAACCCTGTCCCGGTTCCTCCCGGTTCCTCCCGGTTCCTCCCGGGTTGGGAATTGGATCCGTTTGGGAATTGGATCCGTTCAGGGATGGGCCCAACCCTGTCCCGGTTCCTCCCGGTTCCTCCCGGTTCCTCCCGGGTTGGGAATTGGATCCGTTCGGGAATTGGCCCAGATCCCGTCCCGGTTCCTCCCGGTTCCTCCCGGTTCCTCCCGGTTCCTCCCGGGTTGGGAATTGGATCCGTTCAGGAATTGGCCCAGCCCCGTCCCGGTTCCTCCCGGTTCCTCCCGGTTCCTCCCGGTTCCTCCCGGGTTTGCAGGTGAGCTGGCCCTGGAAGGCGCTGTCGGAGCTGGACCAGCTGTGGATGCCCAAGTGCTGCCGGTTCGGGTGGCGGCTCGGGCCCGGCCCCTCGCCCGCCGCGCCGGGCGCCTGGAAGAAGCTCTACGTGGCCATGGTGCGCGAGCTGCGCATCGCGCGGCCCGAGGTAGGCCCCCATCCCACCAAATTCCTGCTTCTCCAGCTTCTCTGTGTTCTCCACGTTCTCCACGTTCTCCACGTTCTCCTGCCCACCAAATTCCAGCTTCTCCAGCTTCTCCATGTTCTCCATGTACTCCACGTTCTCCACGTTCTCCACGTTCTCCATGTTCTCCTGCCCACCAAATTCCAGCTTCTCCATGTTCTCCATGTTCTCCACGTTCTCCACGTTCTCCATGTTCTCCTGCCCACCAAATTCCAGCTTCTCCATGTTCTCCATGTTCTCCATGTTCTCCATGTACTCCATGTTCTCCATGTACTCCCCGTTCTCCACGTTCTCCAGCTTCTCCATGTTCTCCTGCCCACCAAATTCCAGCTTCTCCAGCTTCTCCATGTTCTCCATGTTCTCCATGTTCTCCACGTTCTCCATGTTCTCCTGCCCAACAAATTCCAGCTTCTCCATGTTCTCCATGTTCTCCATGTTCTCCATGTACTCCACGTTCTCCACGTTCTCCACGTTCTCCATGTTCCCCATGTTCTCCGTGTTCTCCTTCCCACCAAATTCCAGCTTCTCCAGCTTCTCCATGTTCTCCATGTTCTCCTTCCCACCAAATTCCAGCTTCTCCACCTTCTCCATGCTCTCCTTCCCACCAAATTCCAGCTTCTCCAGCTTCTCCATGCTCTCCTTCCCACCAAATTCCAGCTTCTGCATGTTCTCCTTCCTTACAAATTCCAGCTTCTCCACCTTCTCCATGTTCTCCTTCCCACCAAATTCCAACTTCGGCATGTTCTCCTTCCTTACAAATTCCAGCTTCTCCACCTTCTCTATGTTCTCCTTCCCACCAAATTCCAGCTTCTCCACCTTCCCCACCTTCCCCAGGTTCTCCATGTTCTCCACATTCTCCACATTCTCCACGTTCTCCATGTTCTCCATGTTCTCCATGTTCTCCACTTTCTCCACCTTCTCCACCTTCCCCACCATCTCCACCTTCTCCACCTTCTTCTCCTTCCCCACCTTCTCTACCTTCCCCACCTTCTCCACCTTCCCCACCACCTCCACCTTCTCCACCTTCTCCGCCTTATCCACCTTCTTCTCCTTCCCCACCTTCTCCACCTTCCCCACCATCTCCACCTTCTCCACCTTCTCCGCCTTATCCACCTTCTTCTCCTTCTCCACCTTCTCCACCTCCTCCACCTTCTCCACCCTCTGCACCTTCTCCACCTCTGCCCCGTGTCCCTGGGGCTTCTCCTGGGGGTCGGAGCGCTCCAGGCCGTTTGTCGTGTCCAAGCTCGGATGTTTTATTTTGTGTCATCGATGCCGCGTCTCCCACGCGTTCTGCACGCCAGGACGGCTGCCCGGGCGCCCCTGCAACTTTTACACTGTCCAATTAAGAAATGACAC